TTAGTGCCACGCTTTACTTATAACGGATATTTTTCCCTTTTTTTTAATCTGTCAAAAGGAACAAACTAAAAACATTTTCATTTTCTTTTTAGAAAAGAAAAATGACTAAGCATACAGAGTTTGAACAAATCAATCGCACTGAACTAATCAAATTTTTATAAAAATTCACAAATAACTTTTTTATTTGACACCACGAAAATCTGGATAAAGAAGACTTTGAACTAAAAGTTTTTATTTCACGCCTTCGTTACTCACCTTAAAACTTTTTCTGAGTTCTTTTTTTTGATCGGTGAAAATAAAAACCAAGATAGTTTTCCATTTTTTCTAGATATACTGTAACTTTTTCAACAGGAAAACTTTTAACTTCGGATAATCGATCGAAATACGCTCTAAAATTTTGAGAATTTGTATCAGAATTCAAATCAAAATTGCAATCCAACTGATTTTTCTTTAATTTCGCTTTCCATTTGCTTTTCTAGTTTGTTAAATACTAGTCGATCAGTCAACCCGAGCCAAATTTTGTCTATAAAAACTTTCATCTAATATCTGGCGCTTTTTTTTGTTTTTTTTTGCAAATTTCAACATCTTTTTTAAAAAATGTATTGATTTAATATTGTTACTAAATAGCGAAGAATCAAAACGCTCTCCATTAATGCCATAACTCCATCACTTTTGTACTCTTTTTCTAGCAATTTAGTTGTAAAATCTGAAGAAATTCCCATTTTAGACCTTAAGAAGAGTTTTTCACAGAAACTTTTTTTGTCACCTAAATTCAATTTTAAAACAAAATAAAAATACCAGTGCAGAATCTTCTTGAAATTTATTTTCAGAGATTTTTTTCGACTTTCAACTATTTTCGTAGAACCGGTTACAATAATTTTTATTGTTTTACCTTTATCTATCAAGTGCTGCGTTTCTAAGAATTTCAAGTAACCAATCAAAATATCAAAAGATGGAAACTTTTTTGTATAACAACGACTGAAATTCAAAAATTCAATGAATAATTTGATCAGAAAGGTATTGTGTTGCATTTGTGAAACTCATATTTCGAAAATTTTAACAAAATAATTGTTTTTTTTTGGAATGTTGTCTAAATCAGACAAATATTACTCGAATTGATAATAGAAAAGCAATTAAATCTCAATAGAATCTTCTATGAGGTTTTTACGTCACGGGTTTCAATATGATCACTTGTTTTGTCAATATTCTTCTGTACAATCTCTCGTTTTCTAAATCTTAATGTTTATTTCAGTCAGAAAAATGCTTTTGAGGGAAGAAAAATTTAGTTAAAAAACACAAAAAGAAATAGAAAAAAAAAATTTTTAACTTATTTTTACAGTTCAAAAAGCAAAACTTGGCAAAATTCTCTAAATTTGTTCAAAAAAGAGTTGAAATATGCAACTTGTTTCATTGCTTCATTCTTTTTTTGCAGTGAAGAGTAGAATCTGAACATAAAAAGACTTGTTAACATTGTAGTTTTTGATCATGAAATAAACTTGTTTTTGTAGTGTAATTTGGCATGCTGGTTTGAATTTTGTACAAGTTTATTGGTTCTATTTTTGTACAAAAACAGATTTTACTCAAGTTTTGTTACATTATGCGGAAAATATTCAATCAGCTTAGTCGAGCAGTTCAACATAATTTACAAAAAAAAGAGCCGAAAAATGTTTATGAAGGCAAAAAAGCTAGTCATTCGAAATATTCAAGGGGCATTGTCTAAGTTCTAATCAAAAACTTGCTTCCACACCATTGCTTGGCTCAGCAATCTTGGACAAAATTTGAAAAAATCGAAACTTATAAATTGAATCTGAAAAAATCAAAATTATTGCTTGTGTTATTGATATTATTGGTTCTGTACATAGCGATTATGTAAAATTTCTGATAGAATAAAGAACCGACTTTAAGAAATTTTTGTCTTAATAGTATTTATTGTTACATTTTCAATGAATATGAAAGTTTTTAGAATATTTTAAGTGGAAATGAGAAAAAAAATCAGTTTTACAAAAAAACTTGGAAATTTAAAATGTGTGTGAAGACAAAACTATTTCTACTTGAATCAAAGTTTAAGTTCATTTTCAAGCTCGTTTCCACTTTCTTCTTCTTGTTAAAAGAAGAAAGTGAAACATTTCTTGAAACATATAAAAAAACCGCTTTATTTCTTGAATGTATCTTACACATAGCTGCTGGTTTTCTACTTCTCTGATGGTTTTGCTATCGACTTCTAAAAATTATATAATAATTTGCTCACTAGACTGGCAGACTTTAATAAATTTGAGAATCTTGATAGGTTTTTAACCAATTCCAAACTGAATGAAGCAACTCATTTGTTCTATTGTTATTGGCTTTAATTTCTGAGACAAATTTCTGTTTCTTCTAAAAATTTTATTCTTTTACTTAATGGTTGATGAGTTGAAAATAACTGAACCATATCAACTTTGCAAACTAAAAGAAATACATTTTTATCAGCTGGATCTAACTAAAAAACTAAAATATCAGCAGGTTTTTTTAACGTTTCAATCAACTAAGAGTGTAAAAATTATCTGAGTTTATTCAAAAGATTGTCATCAATTTTGTGATTGTGACAAATTTAGAAAGTTTTGTAAAATTGGACAGGTTGATTTTTATTCAGTCAAACTTTTACAGGTTATGATTTTTTTTGTTGAACTGAAAAAATTTGTTAGAATTATTCAAAAACGAATGAAGTATTTTTTAAGTACTACACCTAATTTGCTACTACTTCTTTAAAATCATAACATTTCATTTTAGATCTCAAAAAATATAGAATAATATCTGAAATCCGCAAATCATTTTGATGAAATGAAGTGACAGTTTTTTTTGTTATAGATTTGTGAATTTGATCAAGTCAATTTTTCATTGAAAAACACAAAAAGGATAATCTACAAGTTTTCTCTTAAAGCATTACAAAAATATGCAAAATATTCAAGAAAATGTGATCTTTTGTGAATAGATGCGAGAATCAATTCAACTTTTCAAGGACTCAAAAAAAGAATAAGAAAAACTAGCATAAGCCAATGATTAATTACAGACGAGTTCTTGACAAAGCTATCAATTTGAAGTCGACAAATAGTGGTTTCAAAATCACCAACTTTTTAGTCGGAACATATCAACAAACTAAAAAAAGGACTCAATTAGTTTTACCCAAAAAATTTCCAATGATGGAATCCGGACTAAACCATAGAACATGTAAATCTAATGAGTAAAATGTAGTAAAATTCCATACAATGAAGTCATTTACATTTTTTGTTTGGAACCCAGTTTTCTTTTTTCTGAAAATCATTATTTTATCTTTAGAGTTTCAATTACATTTCAGACAGTTTCAACAAAATTTCAGTTGGTTAGAACTCTTGTTAAAAAATATCTTAATGCGTAGCATCTTTTATGTTGGGGATCCTAAATTTTGTTGTATTGGCAAATTTGGGCGCCGAAACACTCGTTAATTAAATTTACCTACTTATACCATCTCAAACTTCGTTTCAACACCTCAAACCTACCTTAATACATGGGAAATCATATTCCCCATCTTAACACATAGCCTGCTCCGGTTGGTTTTCCAGATTATTACTGGCAATCATGGGTCTAATTTTGGCGATCATACGCAACTATGTGAATTTTGTAACCCAATGAAAATACCGACCCCTTGAGTGCAGATGGAAAACAAAGAAAACACTAAAATTACTGTGCCGACATATCCGCTCCCAAAAATTGTTCCAATTTATTTTGAGGCATATGATGGTCAAGTTATTTTCATATACGACTCAAATTAAATCGATTTCTATTTGATATTGGCTGTTGGGAGAGAAAAACAAACTAAAATTCAAATATTAATCTATCAAATAAATGTCCGATAATATTTAAACGGGAGTCAGAACCTTCAAGGCCTCGGTACATTCTGTCTTGTTAAACATTCAACGTTCCCTTAGGCAAATATGAACGCTTTAACTGGTAATTAGCTTCCGTCTTGATACTGTACGCTGTTGTTCCAAAAAATTCAACTATGTAATACAAACAAAAATTTTTTGTTAGTTTTTTTTTGTGATTCAGTGAGGGTATTATAGGTCCAAAAATTGTTTTGACCAGCCTAAACAGTTGCCAAATAGCTGTGTTTATTCGAAAACAACCATTCAATTTCTAATAAGCTTTGTTGAATATTGAGCAACTCAAATTTTTTGTTTTGTGACATTTTCAGACCTGATTTTTAAGTTCTTTAAAATAAAATGACAAAACTTCTTTAACAAGCGAAGACAGCAATTGTTATTTTGATGTGAACAGTTTTACGTGAAAAATAACAAACCTGAAACAAGACTGCTCGTATCACGGCGAAGCCCTGAATGTTCCGACTGCCTTTTAAGGTTTATGGAGCAGTAATAACATTTAAAAAATTAGATGAAATAAAATAAAATAATTTTTTTTTCTAAAATTTGAATTTTTTAAATGAAAATCATCCCCCCTCACGCCATATAAAGTACAAAAGGATAGATTTCGTTCCATGTAACAAATCAATTGTGGCAAATTAGCTCCGTTCAACCAATTTGGAACAGTTTCTAAGACGGATTAAATCTCCGCTTACGCGTTAATAGCTCGAATTATATCGCGCGTTTATTGTCCCAAATTGGCCAAAATGGCCTAAATGGCAACCTTTAAACCCTCATAACTTTAGGAAAAAAGATCGCAGGTGAAATACTTTTTTTCAATTTTAAGCTCAGGACAACAATACCTTTTGAATGATATAAAAAAAATTCCGTCAAAAATGGGTAGTTAAAAAGTCGAAATTTGTCCGAAGAAAAAAAAACCCACCCGAGCACAAATATTCCGTTACTTTCGTATCGAAAGTCGGAACAATGACGGATAGCTTACTTAAATGTAGTAACACAACAATGTATGATCTAACACAGCAACTATATGAGAGATTTTATGTATGAATGATTTCCAAATTTATAGCGTAAATATATTTGCAAAATTACAGCGTAACTGTTTTTTAGGATCGGTGATTGATCTTCCATTTTCCGGAACAGCCGAAGTCGAAAACCTCTGGGCCTATTCAAACATAGACCATGATGAGCACTACGGTATTTGGATATTTGAACTTAATCAAGTTCCCAACGACGGTCGGCCTTTTGTGTTTACCGCACACAAATCGGTCGCAGGTGGCTCGGATTTAGCTACTATAAACTGCTTTGGCCCAATTGAACCCGAAATTGCGAATAAGTCAGTGCGAACCAAGTTTTCAATTTCAAACTGCTACTTGCCAAAGAACAGTAAAATTAAGTTGGAGATTGATGGGACTAGCGAAAGCGGTCTCCTGCAAGAGTATGTAGTCACACATAACCCTGAAAATTCTTCAGTTCAAGCTGAAATTACTTGGCATTCTGCCGGGCCCTCTGTGATATCCATAAACATTGATGGAATAACAATTCCAGGACGCTTTCCTGTCTTTTTCGTGGAACCATCGGTACTTGACAGTGTACACGAAATATCAATCAGTGCGGACGAACTAATGCAAGTGATCACTTTGGATTTCAGTCAGTGCGGGTCAACCAATCGTAACGTTACCGGAACCTTCATAAAAGACCAACCAGGTATGTTAATGAGCATCGCATTTTCGATGTAATTTACGTTAGATAAAGGCCAGATAGTTCTCGGTAGATGATATTGTTTTTTAAAAATCTCTAAGAAAATTAATTCACATTTTTATTACACTTCCATTGAGAGCGAATACAGTATTTATTTTCTAATAGAGAATTAGATATTTATTGAATATGACTTCTTACCTTTCTATCAATTCTTTAAAATAAGCGTCGGTATGTGTTTTAGGCACAGAGGTGTCCGTTACAACGATTAAGCTTGAAATCCCCGAGGATTCGTCCATTGTAACCCACGAAATAGAAGACGACGGCTTCGGCGGAACAATACAGTTTCGCACTGATGACGGTAAAACCTAAAACTTTCTTTAACAAAAAAAAAAACAGTTTAAACATGATACAGAAATTATAGAATTGACTAGAGATTGAAAACAGAGGATGATTCTTTACGCGAAACTTTTTTTTCATTAAATTTAAGTTGTTGATTTGATCGCGAGATGTGAAATTGTATCTTTTTGTTGTTGTGGAAAAAAAATAGTTTCAGCATCAATGATTCAAAAATTTGAATTTTGCTCTAATCACATCTCTCAGCTAATGCAAAAGACAAGAAAAAAAAATTGAAATGCCGAGTCTGTTTAAAAACTATAACTGGGCAGTAATTTGAAACATCACTTTTTAACAAGAACAAACAATTTTTTTTTCATGAATTCAGCAATTAAAAAAGGTTTCAAAAATAAAAACTGATTTCAATATAAATCAATGTAAGACGCTGAAGACATTTTAACATTTGTTCAAGGTCGTTGCTATTCCATACCCATCGAAAGACAGCGAGGTACTTCTGCCAGCAGTTGTACCGATTGGGACCGTTCTGAATCCGAAAACGACTACACTGTTTGCGAAAAAGACATCGCAAAATGGCATGGTTGTCCAAGACAAACTAATGGCAGTCAAATTATGGCTAATGATTCATTCTGGGCCGATTTGGAAGCATCCGGGCAGCTAATGAATGGCTGGGAATACGACATCTGCTGTGGAAAAAATCAAGACGAAATTCGTGAAAAATTGAATCTGGTTCACTACTGCTCAAAACAAGAGTGCACCTACAACCCTGGGGCAGATTTTTGCATCAGGTCTCCGCGATTGGCTTGTAGAGCAACTATTGGCGGCAAGAAGAAGCCTCTTTTGGTTTCTAATCAGTGCTGTTACGCTAGCGGTACGCTCCTAACTGACGCAAACCCATACTCAGCGGGAAGAATGCATTTGGAGGTTAATTCTATGGACAATCTGCCAGGTCACTACTGGAATGATTTGTACCCATACTCCCAATGTTGCACTGGAACACCTCCAAACAGTGCAAATTGTCTGGACATATTTAAGAAGCATAGAAAAACAATAATCGGCAACTACATGCCAAGAAACTTCAGAATTAATCGGGGCGATCCTGATATTCAAACTGTTGACGGCAGAAGTTATCCTTTCATGGGTATCGGTGTTTACACAATGATCAAAACTTGGCACGAGAATCCGACTATAATTCAAGCAAGCATGCGGAAGATGGAAAGAGGTACAGTGTTTTCTGGTATTGTCGCCAAGCACAAAAACTCCAATTTTCAATGTCATATTCACGAAAACGGAAACTTCATTCTTGCGGTTAATGGGCAGATTCGAGAGCGTGGTCTTTTAAATGAGTACATTTTGGGTGATATTCTTGTTCAAGAACAAAACAGTCAGAACATCGTAATTACATTTCTGGACACCAACCTAGTTGTTCGTGTGACAGTGGTCAACAACCTCCTAAACCTGATGATTGCTGTACCGCCTTCTTTCAAATTCAACTCAACTGGATTGATGGGTTTTTTCGATGGAGACATGCACAATGACTTCCAAGCATTCAGTTAGTTCCTTGGGATTTGAAATATATGCGTTTTTTTAACATAGCTTTTTGTGGTTTTAGTTTTGTTTAGACCATTCAAATTAGGGAGAACCTCGAATTCGAGTGTTTTAGTTTGTTTATCCACGCAAAATCAGGTCTCACAATTAATCATCGTTTAATTTACTTTTATTCCAGTAAAATTAATTTTAGTGCCTTTTTTGAATGATTTTTTTGTTTTATGATTTTTTTGTTCTGTTTTTTTTTGTAAACGTAAAGAAATAAACGTTTCAACCCCTAATTTTTACTTTGACAAAAATTGTTGACAAATTTGCCTATTTGACTTTCATTTAGGGCTAAGATCTAGGATTTTTTTCTAGGGGAGCGGTGGTGAAGTGGTTAAGTCTCCGTCTCTCAATCGAAAGGTCGGATGTTAAAGGCCCACCATGATCCATGCTCGTTGCTTGAGGGTGAAGCAACATTACCCAGCCCAGAAAAATAACCAAAAAAATTTGCATGTAGTTCTTAAACAGGGACACAACGGCGGTTCGCCGTGATGAGCGGTACAGTTCTTGTGTTGGTCCTTTCCCCCGTGGATAAATGGTCTTAACTCTTAAATGTTCATATCCTTTATTCAGAATGTTCTGGGCCGAACATTCTGCGCTACTCGCACAGCAATCGGCTATCCTTGTTTGTTTAGTAGCTACTCTTTTACTTTGTTTCCCACGAAAATCCAAGCATCATTACGGATAGCCTCTTGCTGTGCAAGAAGCACAGAAATTTTTGACCACATTTAACTAAAAAAAAACAGACCAATAATTTTCCAAACGAAAATTCAAATTTTGTTTTTCGAACTATTTCGAAATTTTATGTTTCACATTTTGCTCAACTAACTGTTATCTTTTTATAAATGCTGACTGATGTAGATTTAAAACTGCAAGAATAAAAATTAAGAAATAACAACTATAGCTAGAATCACGTTTAACACCAAGTCTCGCTCTCTCGAAATAAGGCTGAAAGGCAAAACTTTCAGACCGGTTTTTCTTGGCACTTCGATTTTTTTTCAGCTTTCACTGTCATTTGCCTCTTATTTTAAAGGGCTTTAATTCGACTCAAAGGAATTTAATTTGATATACAATTTGACCCGTACTGATGATTATTTGTGGTGCCTGATTTTGCGTGGAAAACAAAAAACTAAAACACAGCCGACGACAAAGTTCCTCCCCGCACTTAGTAGTTCGAACATCAAACCAAACATCAGTTGAGTTTGAGTAAGTTGTATATTAAAGGCCTCTAAGCCGTGATTTGATCGATATTTTCAAATTTCCAAAAAATATTCTGAGAGTAATATAAACAAGTTTGGTTTTTTATTCCGAACCACATTTTTACTTTAGTTTTTAGACCAAATCAAAGAAACACTCATCAATTATATTCAGTAATTTGGATTTTAAAATTAAAAATTAAATCAGTACTTAATAATAAAACCCTTACTATATTATCCGAGCTACCTTTTAGTAGCTCCCACTAACACAAGATGAAAAATGGCAAAATTAATTGCACAGTACTAATTAGTCTTGTTCTAAGTTTGGGATTGAACATACACTTAAGACACGTTTAGATCTACTTCCAATGAAGGACTCTTTTTATTGCAGATATCTCAATTTGTTTTAGATGGAACAACTTATGATCCCGAAACCGACCTACAGATACTCCATTGGCACTTTGGAGAGTCCTGGAAAGTTTCACGCGGAGATTGGCTATTTTCAGTGCCTGAAATTCGTGTTTTGATTGAGCGAGAAATTGAACGGTCGAGCAATTTCGAACCTTCATATGAAATTGAGTTTGCAGATGAAAATCTTGAACAACAGGCTGCTCAGGTAATTCTGTCATTTGCATCAATCAAGAAATCAAGACATATTTTCTAATTTCAAGCGAACATTATTCTTTAACAAAGAATTAAAAATCAAACATTATAAATGTTCATAAATGTTTAGGTATGCAAAAATGACACGGCATGTATTCGCGATGTCTCCCTAGTAGGAGACATCGGCATAGCTGACGCGTTCCTCGTTATCGAAGAAAACATTCTAAGTGCAGAAATTTCATCCGAGATTTATGACATAAACGAGAAATTCTTCTTTGAAGAAATCACTGTCGTACCAGAAGAGCAGACAACTTCTCCTGAACTGAAACCGAATACAAGCAACAACAACAATAAAGACGAAAGCAGACCATGGATTTTCATTATTATCGCACTCATTTGTTTTTTCATTGCAGTGATAGTTATTATCACTTTGATAGGTTTTCGATATCTCAAACCTGTCAACAAGTTTGAATTGCCAAAAACACCTGCAGATGCGTGCCTGAACGATGTCAGTTCGGAGCGTTGAAAAAATTGAACTCAAACTACAAAAACGTCAACTTCAAAAAGAAACTAAAAACTTTTCTAATTATTACATCGGATTTCCGCACAAAAATTTGTACATAGATGCATGTATGCTGTATTATAACGCTTTCATAAATATATATAGTTTTTTTCCGTCAAATAACTAGCCATCATAAATATATCGCAATAGACGGAAGAGCTAAACAAACATTAAACAAGCGAAGCTGTGATTCGCAAACACTTGCGAGATCATGACCAAAAAGCAGCTCTATAAAGTGAAATAAGAAAAAGTAGAAATAAGCCTCGAATTAGCAAAAACTCGGCTACGTTTCGGATTCGAATCTGCAACCTAGCAAATTTGAGTCTTATGCACTAACCACTCATCCACGGATGGTTAAAATCCCCAAAAGCTAGCCACCAATAAGGTAGCTACATATGCTAATAAATTGCCAACTCGATGCAGCAAAAGTAGCACCAAATACAGAAAGACACAATTTTGCAGGTAAAAAGTTAGAAAGCATAACGCCATATTATGTATATATTAAGAATTTGAAAAAAATTGCAAGATACATTGAGTTGGAAAATTTCTGAAATCGAGCTTTTTTTTATCATTGTACAGCTACTTGAAACAACACTTTTTGTTCAACTTTTTACTAATCAACTTTCATATCACATATGATATTATACTGCTACAACAACCTGCCGATTCAAAAGTGTCACCAAAATTAACGCTTATATTTACGACTAAGTTTGGAAAAAAAGGAAAGCTCGACTAGTACTTTTTGCTTCGCAAGTGTAAACATAATTGTGCCGTCCGTGTACATGCTCAATAAATTAAGGCTTTAAAATACATTTATTTGTTATTAATTGTTTTTTTTTGATAGCTGTTATACCAGTTTTGTACTTTGAACGAATCTAGGCGCGCAAACTTTCAAAAAAAAATTATTTGATTATGAAACCCTTCAAAATTAATAAGCACAAGCCACACGGGACCGGAACAGCATATTAGCACATGTGTCGATTAGCAAGCCCACGTAAAAGAATGCATTTTGAAGACCCGCTACTTTACGTTTTGTTTACTTAAAATTGCAATTTCGAACAAAATTTCAATTCCCCTAACAAATCAAAAGTCAAAATACTTGAAAATTGAAAAAAAAATCACCCAATTAGATTTCAGTATTCCAAAATTTGGAAAGAAATCAAGAAAATCTCAGATAAGTACAGTGCTGATTTAAGCTATCCGGACAAAACGAACAAAAATTGAATTTTCAAACACGTTTTTCTCAAATTGGGTTAAGATTAGACAAAAAAAGAGATCAAAAGTTGCTTAGAATTTCATCAGAATTAATATGGTGCTTTTTTTCTCAGAAATTCTCAACCAAAATTTTATCCCAAATATGGGTCACTTTGGCTTTTTTCAATTAATCAAGATTTACGCTGGAACTATTTTGTCAATTGATAAAGAAAAATACATCACAAGAAGCCTCTTACACAGCCCAACAAAGTTTAGGACAGGTTAAATCTCCAAAAATTTGCGCAAATTATTTAAAACTTGTTTCTAAGCAAAAACTCTGGGATTTATATAGTAAAAATCACATTTATTGACTACGAAGTAATTTTTTTTCTCTTATACAGGTTTTTGAAGATTTAACCCTACTTAAACTTTGTTGAGCTGTGTAAGAGGCTTCTTGTGATGTATTTTTCTTTATCAATTAACAAAACAGTTCCAGCGTAAACCTTGATTAATTGAAAAAAGCCAAAATGACCCATTTTTGGGGTAAAATTTAGGTTGAGAATTTTGGAGGCAAAATTGCATCATATTAGTTCTTATGAAATTCTAAGCAACTTTTGTTCTCTTCAATTTTTGTCTAATCTCAACCCATTTCGAGAAAAACGTGTTACGTGTTTGAAAATTCAAGTTTTGTTCATTTTGTCTGGTTAATTTAAATCAGCACTGTATACATTTCTTTGGACTTAATACTAATATTGGCCGAGTATAACAACGGCAGAAAAATGCAAAACTTTCAAATTGTCACTGAACACCGTCGAATTAGAACAAATTTTATATTTCAAAGTTTTTGTTATAGAAGAAGCAAAAATTGCTTCAATTAATTCCTTTTAGTTGAACAACAATTGATTCATTTTGGTAAATAATTTGTTGTCGGTCTTTCTGTTTTCGGTCTTTCGCCCGAGAATTTTGTTTTCGGTCTTTCGCCCGAGAATTTTTCGCCCATTCGATCCTTCGCCCATGCGAATAGCCCCCACTTTGGAGCAGTCGATTCAATATTGGCCGAATAAATTATCAGCAGACAAAAATCCAATCAGCCCGCACACTGCCAGGCCATTCAGAGAATTTTTCTGCAGTCTGTCTTTAGGTTTTCTGCATGAATCGTTCAGCAAGCAGGAACTTGTTACCGTTTTTTACGAGTCTCATTGATTAAAGTTTTTCACTCGGTCCTTTCATCAAGAGTATAGCCTCCGACAACGGGCATTTTGCTGAACAATTTGAAGCATGAAATCAAAATATCTATTTACATCTAATAGAACCAAGCCTCAGTTTAAGCAAACTTACTTAGGAACGGCAAATATTTTTCAAAAAACCCCTTCATCGCCTCAAGTTGCCTTTAGGAGTGCACGTTCTTCAAGACGCAGCGCAGTATTATTCTGTTGTTTTTGATTTTGCTCATCAGAAACTTTTGACAGTTGAAAAATAGCTATTAGTTTACTTGTTTGGTCCCGTGACAAGTAAAAACAAAAGCAAGCGCGGAATCGGACCTACGCCTTGGAGTCGGTAACCAAATTCGTACCCGCTAAATGCATGCTGTTTTATCAAGATAGAGAAATAAGATTCTTGCTGTGCGAATTAACCCAAATATTGTACCTGTTTTTATTGGGACCACAGTATTTTTGAGGGACCAAACAAGTAAGCTAGTTCCGAAGAGTAATCCATTTTTACCGTTCATGAGCACCGCTGAACATGGTGGGTGAAAATCAAGTGTGGGCGTGAAGCACATATTTGTTCTAACTTAGTGTTTTTGGGCGAAGGCAGCAGATGATGTCATTAGTTTGACTTTTTTCGTTAAATGCTTGAAACGCGTATCGTTAAACGCGTATCTCCAATTTCATGATACTGGGACTTACTTGTGCACAATCCATATAAGGGAATACTACCGTTGGTTCGCATTTCTGTGCAATCAAGCTTCTACTATGTTAAAAACAGCTCAAAAATTGTTACTTCAGGCCGAAAGTCGTTAAAAACATCATAAGAGAAAAACAACTCCAAATTATCTGAACCAGAAAATAAGTCTGAACATTTCTTAACTTTTGAGTTGCAAATAAAAATTAGTCTCTTTAAAATTCGCTCAATGAGAAAAATCTTTTATGGTTGACATTCTTTTGAAAATAAAACTCTATCATTCGATCATTTTTATTTCGAAGGGAAAAACCAAAATTAAACAGAGGCAAAGCTGCACTTCGCAAACTCAAGCGAAAAAACGTCAAGAAGTAGCTTCACGTCAAGAAGTAGCTTTGGTCAAAGAGAGAAAAAACTGATGCTATTAACTAAATAATTTTGAATAATAACGCCCTCTACGAGAATTGAACCTCGGGTATTCAAAATTTCGAGTTGACTACCCTACAAATACAAAATTGCTCTACTGACACTTTTAGAAATCAATGACAAGCAAGATAGAGGCAAAAGGGAGCCTCATAATTCACTAAAAAACACAAACTTTGCGTGTAATAATTAGGATTGTAATAAACTACAGGTAACACTCACATTGCATGTAATAAAACAGCCAAAATGCGTATATATTATGCTGTTCAAAAAATATGCAAAATATATGCAAAAGATATGTGAGTTTGAACATTTCTGAAGAAGTTTTATTGCTGTAGTGTTATGTGGAACAAATAGATTTCTTCGGTTCTTTTGGTGAAATAAAAATGCATCAAAAGTGTTAACTTATTAACAATCAAATGCCACCGCACATGCTACAAAACTTTTGCTGTTAGTCTGTAACTACAAGTCTAATTTTTTTCCAACTTAAGTAACAAAAATCAGTGCTACTTTTGGTGACACAAAAGTAGCTCTTATCTTTGCTACTAAGGTTAGAAAAAAATTAGCCTTGTAGTTGCACACTACGCTTCGCCCTTGTAAACACTTTGTGAAAGTAAAAGTAGCTCAATATTCGCGCTTTTTGCAGTGATGTTATGTTATAGGAGAGGAGCGTAATTTGTCATCTTCTTTTCAAATGAATATGAAGTGAAATTAAAAAGAAATCGAAAGTCAAAACGCCCAATTACTAAATTGAGCGAGAATAAGATTTACTTTGAATAATTAACTGAAAACGACCGAGCCTATCTCGCTCATGAAAATATAGCTGACACTTAACACAACCAAGATAGGCAAAATTAAATGAATTGAAAAATAAAAACTTTTGTGAAAATTGAATGTTACAGATTTGAGAGTTTAAAGACAATATATATTTGACATCTATAAACCATATTTCAAGTTGAAAGATTTAGAAAACACATAAATATCACTTAATAGTTCTTTTATTTTCAGATCCTCATAAAATTAAAACTGTTTTGTTAAAACTAACTAAATTTGATAATTTTTGCTTCCTCGGGGAAATCTGAAAACCCTTCCTCGGGGAAATCTGAAATCTTTTATGAATTAAAGTCGGTCAAATTTTGCGTCATTAAATTTTTTGCTGTTGCAGAGCCTAATTTGCTTTTCATTCGGCAGATAAATTAAAGCAAACTTCAGAAATCGAGACTCAAACCCGAATACATGAATCTAATTTACAAATTTATGCAATGTAAGAGAAGAATCGGCGCCTAACGTACCAGGCACAAATTCTCTTCAAATCATAAGCAGAGAGAGCTGGACCGGGCTTGAAGCGATGATAGTAGTTAACTCTTGAATTTTGTGGGCGGGTGCTTAAAAAATCTCTGAAAAAGCAGAAGAAAAGTCCAGTTTTTTTTCATCGTGAACAGCCAGCTCCCCACCAAACCCACCCCTTTCTAGACAAATTTTAGAACTCGCCACACAAAAAGACTATCTGAAAACTGCGTAACAAATTGGTAAAATGTGTTTTAAATTGAATTGAAAATTGAGTCCAAACATTCAAAGTACATTACACAAAAC